GGACGGTTTCTTTTTTTGTGCTGAAACGTTTTGCCTTCGATCCAGAAGGCTTCATCAGCCAGTTTGACATGACTGTCAACAAGGAAGAGGGCTGGCAATGGAGGAGGGGCGTACCAAAGAGACCATCTTATCACAAGCAGAACTGGTTTGTTCCACTTTGGAGTAAGCTGTTGGGGGAAGAATCAGTTTTGTTGTGTGTTTCCTTGACTGATGAAGCCTTCTGGATCGAAGGCGAAACGTTTCAGCACAAAAAAAAGAAAATGTCCAGATGACCTGACTGAAAAATGTTGGATTGTATACCTGGATTATTGAGCATGGACTTTGTTGCTATGCTAAAGAGCTCAAACCACACCGAGCATCTGCCATTTTGAGAACTGAAAAACAGAAAAGAGAGACAGCCCATGTCATGTCCATTTTCTTAAAGACACACTGCTCACTCCCTCACTATCCATCCTTCAGTTCAATCAGTCTTATACTGCCATCCGGTGGTCAAAAACGGTACTACACACAAAAATTAACCAACAATTCTTCTTGAATTTGACAATAATTACTAATTATTGTAAAATTTCAAACAATTTTATTGTTTATCGCAATAATTTCTGAGACAATTAATCGTCCAGCAAAATTTGTTATCGTGACAGGCCTAGCTGAGAACTTGTTTACTGATAAGAGCTCAAACCACACCCTGCGTCCGCCATTTTGAGAACCGAAAAACATGAAGGACAGACAGCCCATGTCACGTCAAGGGGCCTCCCTCCCATTTTTCTTAAAGGGACACGCTGCTCACTCTCTCACTATCCATCCTTCAGTTCTAACAGTCTTACACTGCCATCCAGTGGTCAAAAGAAGGTACTACATGCAAAACAAATTACCATCATTTCTTCTTAAATTTGACAATTACTAATTATTGTCAAATTATAAACAGTATTATTGTTTATCGCGATAATTTCTGAGACGATTAATCGCCCAGCTAAATTTGTTATCGTGACAGGCCTACATTAGGCCTTAAAAAGGGTGTTTCAGACATTCTGAATTGGGGTTCCATAAAAGATTCTGAACTGTGATGGTTATATCTTTTGTCGTCACAGTTTGATTTGGAAAAGTGGTTTAATTCAACTAAACTGCAGCTGTTTGCAAGAACTAATAGTGGCAGAAGCAGCTAGCTGTAGCACTTCTGTTGTGACCTGGGGCACTTTCTGCAAGAACATGAGAATATTTCTGCCTGAATACCAGCGTGATACTAAACAGACAGTGGTGTAAAGGTTTAAATATCAATGTTGGCATGAAAATTAAAGATTGTACATGTTTTAACTCTACTCTGGTCCTGATGGATCTTACGGACACGTTTATGACTTCTACAGTAGCAGTTATTACAAATTATATTCCATAGACCTTTAATTTGGTAGAAATATTGCACAGTTCTTGCAGGAAGTGCTCCGGGCTGCGCCGGATTTAAATAACTAGTAACTGACAGCAATGCGATGTCTTATTTCTGCACGAGTAGCAGATGGTCATCCAAATGTCCTCGTTTGTCCCACATGTCTTAATTCACTTCAGTTTTTTTCTATAGCACCAAGTCCCACAGAAGTCGTCTCAGGAACTGAACAGAAACATTCATATATAAAAATAATAATTTAACATTATTTAGCTGAGGAGCAGACTGCTTTGAGTTTAACAGAACTCTCATCTTGAGCAAGCATGAAGGCGACAGTGGAAAGGAAAAACTCCCTCATGAGGAAGAAACCTTTAGCAGAACCAGGATCAGGACAAGAGGACCATCTGCTTCGACCGGCTGGGTTTGGGAGGAACAGATACACAATGGCAGGTCAAGAATCACATGTTAAGATAGAAATAATATCAAATGAAAACTATAACAATTAAAAATTAGGTCAATTTGTCCTCTAGTAATCTAAATCTATAGCAGCATAACAAGCCGACCCCAACTATAGGATTTATCATAAAGGAAAGTCTTAAACTGGACAATGTGTCAGCCTCACGGACAGAAACTGGACGTTGGTTCCACAAGAGAGGAGCCTGAGAACTGAAAGATCTTCCTCCCGTTCTGCTTTTGGAAACTCTAGGAACCACAAGTAAACCTGCAGTCTGAGAGCGAAGAGCTCTGTTAGTAAAATATGGAACAATAAGATCTGTAATATAAGATGGAGCTAGGTTGTTGAGGGCTTTGTAGGTTAGAAGTAAGATTTTGAATTAAATTCTGGATTTGACAGGGAGCCAATGGAGAGAAGCTAAAACTGGAAAGATATGATCTCTCCCAGTAACTCCAGTTAAGACTCTGGCAGCAGCATTTTGGATCAACTGAAGACGTTTTAAAGACGTATTTGGACACCCAGATAATAAACCATTGCAATAGTCCAGTCTAGACGTGACAAATGCATGGACCAGTTTTTCTGCATCATCTTTAGATCAGATGTTTCTAATGTTAGTGATATTACGCAGGTGGAAGAAGGTGTGGGTGGCATCTAGATGGGTGAATATAGACAACTAAATGATGTGGGCAATATGTGGCCCGAGGGCCAAAAGTGGCCCTTGGACAATCTCCATTCGGCCGCGAAAATTCTTACTTGAAAAGTTTTTTTTGTTTTTCTTTACTTGATGAAAACCAGCATTTTATCAATGAAACTTAAAGAAAGTTTAAACTAAACCTCTTGGACAAATAAATAAAATATTGTTAATTACTTTGAGATTTTCGCATTCCCAGAAAGGATAAAACCTCAATAATAACAAACACAGCTATTTTTAGTTAGCATATTTGGAATAACTTCTTGTCACAAGAGCCAGTTCACAGAAAGTAGATCTTATATTAGAGTATTGGGGAGGTGTATTTTTCATCATGCATGCCAACTATGCTACAACAACAAAAAGCATTAAAAAAAATCCAGATTATCCGTCTCAAAGAAACTTTGTTTGCTTTAAATATCTTGATTTTGCCCTTTGGAAAATGAAAATGTTGCCCACCCGAGTCCAAGAATGTAGTTTTGGAGGAACACACAAAAACAGGTTGTGATAAAAATAATAATAATAAAAGTACAGCTTTTAAGACAGGCACAGCGCGCTGGTCGCAGACTCGAAAATTAAGAATTAAGCGAGTCTGCGACAGAAAATTTGTCTTTTTTTTTTTTTTTTACAATTTCAATTCTCCGATGCTAGCTGGTGAGACAAGACCTTAAAATGCTGTAGTCTTCCATCCAAAATACCAAAATCGGAAGAAAACATCTCAATATTTAAGAAATATGACATTATTTTAGAGTAAAACACAATAAAAACCCATTTTGTCACAGAACAGGCACTGGAAATGACAACAAAGTCAAGCTGTTAGCTTCGTCTTTGGTCACTTGATTGGCATGTTGATCTGTCGGCCGGCGTAGGGGCTCAAACATATACGCAGTGCCCAAAACTAATGTTCCTTCGTCCTAAAGGGACTCAGAATTGACTAAAATTAAAAAATCAGACTCTTAGTTTCTGTCTGTGTTCTCAGTCATTGTAGTAACGCGCTACATGTAGTCCTCTTTGTCGTCACTTTCAGTTACTGACATTTCGGACTGTACGTCTTAACAGCTGTTCATCTCAGAGACGTGAAGTCATTTATTTATTTTACAATGTTTTGTTAATGTTATCTTTAAAATAATCCGTTATCTCAATAATCTGATGTCACAGGCACTTTAAAGTTACTGGCCGAACCAGATTCAGGATGGGTTGCGCTTGTCCTTGGACACTGGAAGTCCTTAAGAAGTACCGGTACATTAGAACGCTCGCCCTCCCCATTAAATCAACATTTCTACCCTGGCTTGCTCCTGAAAATTAGTAAAACCTGCTGTAATAAACCAATTTTCACTCCTGTTGGTTTAAATAAGTCAAAGTTGATGTCATTCAGTGATCGTGTTACGTGTTCGAAGCACCGTTGGCTTGTTTTGCCTGGTTACCAAGAACAGCTATCAAATTCTACTGGCTTTCCAAATAGAATAAGTTCAATTGGATGGGACATTATTCCCTGGTCCAAATTCCATGCCATGATGACAATTTTAGACCCTATGATCGCTTTAATTAAGTCATTAGTAAGAAATACCATAAGTCTGCCCATCCCTGGTTTGACCAATAGGTCAGAACTGTCTGGTTCGTTTAAGTATTTTAACCTAAAACTCAGACCGATTGTCTTTATGCTTCAACAGTTCAATGTAGCTATCCCCCCCTTTCTTCAACCCAGATAAGCATTTAGTGGTTTCTTACGTCTAACACTCAATAAACCTATGTGTAAACCTGAACTTTGATCACTAGCGTCGCCAGTGTCTAAGGAGGGGAAACGTTGACCCCATTTATCTGTAAATACATTCTGTTGACTTATTTTGCCTAAGAAGAACAAACCCTTAAATTAGGTTTAGAAAGAAAAAAAAAAACATAGTTGAATATGCAGAAAGTAGTGAAGTTGTTTTTGTACTTGTAGGCCTTGATAACAGCATGAAGGTCAAGAGGTACAAGGGGCCTGGAGAGGATATCTAACGTGACCTCTAAACTTTTATAAGTCATTTTCCTTCTTGAGTACAAGTTATTAATTAATTCAAGGGAGCAGAAAGTTTCCCCAACAGCTTTTAGGAAGGAAACTGCGTTCATGGGGTAGCTTGAAACATAAAGCCTTTGTGTGGAACTCACAACAGCCTCGAGCAAACTGATTTTCCTGTTTTTGACGGCACACAAAGAGCTTCTGTAGCTTTGGATCCGGATACTCCCCCCCCCCCCCCCCACCAGTGTCCAAGTCTGAATCTGGCTGTGCTTTGTGGCTCAGGTCGTTGCAACCACTGCGTAATCAAACCGGTTTATCTCTGTTCCCCAACACTGTCCTGTGTGCACGAGGCTTATTTTCATAGCAGTCCGTGCACAGATATCTGTTACGATTTGCATGCCGTCATTTGCATGGGCTCGTCTCAAAGGGTTATAAACTGTCCGTCTCTCTTACAGGAATTCAGATGTGTCCCCCGACAGCCAGAGAGGCGTTTCAGTCCCCAGATGGATTCCAGAAGTCAGAACGACAGAGACGGAGGAGGAGGGGTCCACGGGGGGTCAGTGACTGGATTGTCAAGTGTGCTGCATGACGATGGGAGATCGCAACAACTCCCTCTGCAGACCACCTATGGGTCAGATGTTGGAGTGAACAGTGGGCAGCGGTCACAAACTCCACCACTGCTGTCTCTGGATCAGATCAAGATAACTGGCAGCAGTAATGAATATACAGATGGGCCCACGGGTGCTCACAGTGCCCAGCAACAGAAGACTGATTTGGTTAGGACCAGTGGGCAACAGGGGACTCTGGAAGAGAGACATCAAAACCTCCACAACCTGCAGTCCTTGGCTCAGCATGGAAGCATCACGTCTTCCACAGAAGATGTGTTGCAGTCCTCCAGTGTGGGAGGCTCCCAGAGCAGCATCAGGACCAGTAAAGACAGCACTAATTCCAGCCTGAGGCCTCTTAGCAGCCCGGTCAATGGTGACCAGATCATCAGAATCCAGCCAAAACGCTCGGAGCTGAATTCGGAGGAGCTGAAACCCCTGAACGAAGAGTTCGGGGTTGTGGCGGTCACGCCGGGCAGCACGATCACTGCGAACAACAATAAACACTCCGACAAATGTGAGGAATGCGAACGGTGCAAGTGTTTGGAGTGCAGTCGCCCACGGACGCTCCCGTCCTGCTGGATGTGCGGGCGACGATGCGTTTGCTCTGCGCACAGCGCTGTGGAGCACTGGACGTGCGCCTGCTGCATCAAGGGCCTTTTCTACCACTGCTCCAGCGACGACGAGGACACGTGCGTCGACAAACCCTTCTCGTGCTCGCAGTCGCACTGTTGCATCCGCTGGACGACCATATCGCTCCTGACCTTGGTCCTTCCCTGTCTGTTGTGCTACCTCCCGGCTAAAGGGTGCGTGACGTTGTGCCAGCGCTGCTACGATCGAGCCACGCGGCCCGGCTGCCGGTGCAAAAACTCATCCGCATTCCACTATCACGAAGACGGCAAAACGACGTAGATCATGTTGGAGAAACGATGAACGCACTCCACACTGACTGGACTGAGGAATGTGTACCGGTAGTTGCATGATAGAGCCATCCACCAAGTGCTTCAAGTTTTTCCTCCGTGTCTAACAGATGTGTCAGAAGAGTCGTCAACTTTCAAGGCAGGTTGGCCAAAAAAATCGTCACTAGTTATGAGTTTCACCTGAAGGGTAAACCAAACTCTGCTCGCTAACAAAAGACTAATTATTAAACTACTATTGAAGAAAATTCTTCACTTAAGTGCCCTGATTTTAATAGAATCCAAAATTGTTAAACATTTTGAGACAATATTCTAAAAGCAGACTTCTGTTACTAACCGTATGCAACGTAGAAAATATGTAAAGGGTTTTATGTTATAAAATGTTTTATTTTTGTATTCAAAAACTTGAACTGTGAAAGGTTTTCTGCCATGCCTCCATAAAATGCACGTTCCTCTGAATCGGTCAACTTTCGTTCCAACGTTTGCTGGAATGTGAATAACTTTTTTAAACGTAACGTACCAAGAAAAGGTCGTTGCCCTTCGATTTGTAAACGTGTACAGTGACCTTTTATGAAAAATTTTATTTTATAATTCCAACATTGCCTAGTGTAAAGTTAAAGCTATATATATTTATTTGAAGGTTTTATTATTTTAAGAAATTTAAGATGAAAACATATTTATTTTAATGGAAAGCGATAAAGGGTCGTCTCTGAGGCACGAAGCTTTGAGATGACGGTAGCGATGGACGAATAGTTCACTATGGATTAGTTGACAAATATATTAACATTTGAAATTAAACTTTTTAAATCTGAACAAATTGTTTCTTATCTACTTTGCCATTTGTGATTTTTGAAGTGCAGCATTTTAAATTCCACAATTGTAGAAAGGTATGCTAATTAATTAGAAAAAGGTGATAGGATCTTCTTCCGGCTTTTCCCTCTTCAGGGGTCACCACATCGAGTCATCCTCCTCCGCCTCACCCTGTCCTCACTCCAACTACCTCCATGTCCTCTCTAACTGCATCCATACATCTCCTCTTTGTCTTTTTCCTGCAGCTGCATTTCTAACACCCAATGGCCCTCGTCTGGACATGTCCAAACCATCTCAGTCTGGTCTCTAACTTGATCTCCCAGTTGTTCAACCTGTGCTGTACCTCTGATGATCTCATTCCTGATCTTCTCCATCCTTGTCTCTCCTAAGGAGAACCTGAACATCTTAATTTCTGCCACTTCCAGTTCTGTCTCCTGTCATTTTGTCCATGTCTCTGTCACCAGACCATACAACAGAGCTGGTCTCACCACTGTCTTGCAAACTTTTCCTTTGACCTTTGCTGACACCCTTTTGTCACAAATCACTCCTGAAACTTTTCTCCATCACTCCATCCTGCCTGGACTCTCTTCTTCACCTCTTTACCACACTCCCCATTTCCCTGGACGGTGGACCCAAAGTCCTTGAAGTCCTTTATACCTGTTTATAATGTTTTTGACAGCATTTCACCTTGGCTATGTTTTTTTTTGTATGTGCAAATCACCTTTCCTCTCTCCTGAGGGTCATTAGGGGCACATAGAGGGGTTACGGTTTATTTGGACGTGCAAATCAAGGAAAACTTGTAAGTCATCACATATTACTCATGTGTTGGGATTTTATCACATTTCCTTTACAACTTAAATACGTGTTCACGTAAACCAGCTATTAGTCTGTCCCAGCAGATACTAAGCCCTTTTCTTTTCCACACACACACACACACACACACATCTGTATATATCAGGAGATTGTTGAGGAATTCCTTGGTTTTGGGTGTCCCTATAGGCGAAACATAAGCTGGAAACATGAAACTCCTGACACTTGTTGACAGCCAGTAGACGTGTTTGTGGCGAGGTATGCGTTCAGAGCGGTGATTGACGTGCCGAGGGCCCAACCTGCACTCACTTGTTGGGTTATTCATCCCCGGCATTTAGACTGAAAACAAAACGAAGGTTTGTTTTACATAATTATCAACTTTCACCCCAATTCTTCTTATTTTTTCCAGGGGAGTTGGAAGTAACGGCGCAGAATCCCATTAGAGGCAGAAAAGGCCGAGTTGATTTTGTGTTTAGTCCTAATCTCCGCGGTCGTGGGCCTCCTCTTCCCCATTGTCTCAGCTGTGAATGAAAAGGAGAGAGAGCGAGGAGGGGGTGAGTTTGTGAGGAAGGAGTGCAAAGGGTTAAAAGTGTCACTTTGAATGACAAAGAGCAAACAGTTTCATTCATTCATTCAACCTTTATTTAGACAGGTAAATCCCATTGAGCCTCGAGGACTCATTTTACCCTGTGTTCAGCGCTGCGTGCATTCATCTTGTCCTCAATAGTTGGGGTGGGGGGTGTGGGGTGTATTTTGGCTCCTCTTCAGCTACCTGCTCCTTCTTGGTATTCTCGTAGGGTGATGGGTTGTTGGGGCAAAATATGGAGGGCCCTTTGTTGACTGGGTTAGTTCAGGGGTGTCCACGTTTTCATAAGTGAGCCAGAACTGTAGTTGAAAGGGCTTGTGGGTCCGAAAATTTTGAATTTAAGGAAAAAAAAAATCTTAAAAGCACAATTTTATTTTTTCCCCCTCATTTTTAAACTTTCAACAACTTGAATAATATTTTGGAGGTTTAACAGCAAAACATTAAAATAATCTTCTCAAAATGAGCGATATTAAGTACAATACAAATATTTAGGTATAATTAATCCCAATATCCTACAACAAACCTTCACTCACTTCTACCAAAAAGTTGCATTTTGAATAGTAATTCATAAAATTTGGCTAAATATGGCAAGTGTTTTCAACAAAAATAATTTCAGTTGATTAAATAATTGATGGGGAAAAATTGGATGTTTTTAAAAGAATATAAAGTGGTATCATCGACATACAAGAATATAAACTGGTAT